ACCCAACTATATGCTGTCTAGAAGAAGTCCACTTTATTTTTTACTTTATTTTTTTTAGAAGTCCACTTTAAATATATACACAGATTATAAAGCAATTTAGTAGTTTATTTAGCTTGTAAGTGACTCAGCCAGGTAATAAAATCCAGATTTTAGGACTCCAAGAATAGCTCTTTTTTGAGCATGGTACTATACCTACTACCTATCTAATTAGTTTTTCTCAAAGTTCAGGTATTTCTAAACACTTAAGAATTCAACTACTCTATGTATCCCAGATTCACCTACCTGCTATCTAAAATAATCTAGCACTGATATCTACAAACTTTTACCCAGTTCTCCTTTCTCTATAACTCATGGCCATGGTCTTTTCCCATTTCTAGCTCTCAAAAACTTAGGTATTCAACACAAAAAGTCCTAGAAGTGGAACTGATTCTCCCAACAGTCTCAATCCAAAAGCTTTCTATAATCTCCTTACCTATCCTACTCACTCCTGAAAATTGTCCTCAAAACTACCTTTCCTTTTCAAATCTGTTTTAAGACCCAAAACAATATAAAACTACTAAAAATTATCTTAAACAAAGTTGTAGGTATGACCTCCATACAAATTAAGCTCCTTGAAAGCAAGCTTCATTTTGGTTCATCTTTGAAAGTGTCCAGGTGTATGCTTTCCAAAATAGGAACAAATACAGTCACTAAAATAACTCAAATACAGAAAAAAGATGGATATAAAGCAATGTTGATTTTCAAGTGGAAATATCTAATTTGGAACATATTTCTCAAGTATTCCTTTTTGCACAAATATCTTCTCACTTCCCTAAGCCCGTTACTGATATCAATTATAGTATTTACCAACTGCTAATCAAAATTTAAGAAATTACAGTGTTTATCCTTAGAATATATTCTATAGCCAGATTTTCATCTTAAGGTTAGAATACAAACTACATGTTCCATGAATTTCAATAAACTACTGTATCATATAGGTGAATTTCCCCGTTATATTAACATCGGTAATTTAGAGTGGACTCAATAGGAAAACATTTAAACTTTCCATATTACCCTGCAGAAATTGGAGGGGAAAAAAACCATAATATTTGAAAAATACATTTACATATGCATATATTAAAGTATAATGGTAGTTTAGCTAACACAAAAGACGTTTCTTTATTTTCTTCTTTAACTAGGCATGTGCAGCTGTTACTACATAGAAAGCAGTCTTACCCAGGCGACTAAACAGCAGCACTGGTATAGCTTCCCATGTGAGTTACTAAGAGTCCAAGAGCAGTGGACGTCCCTCCGATACAAGCCTGATGGTAATCAGCCAACTTCTATTAGAAAATTTATAGATATGAGTGAAACAATGTCTACCTTCGGTAAGTAATTACAGCATCTAATTTTTATCTAATAGTGCACATAAAACGAAACTGAAATGCCTTTTCAGAGGGTGATAGTTTTCAGAGGGGAATGATAAAATCTGCCTCTGAAACATAGTGGTTCCATCGTCATGCCTTGCTCTGTGTATGTATGCCACAACCTCACTGCTAAATAAAACCGAAGCTGCCAACTGCTATGATCATAGCATCTAAGCAGGAGAGAAATCTGCAAGAGCTGGAATAGTTTAGAAAGGGTTCAAGGAAAGAACATATCTCACCTGGGCTCTAAAATCTGAGTCAGAGTTGAAAAGATAAGTACTTGGAAACCGATAAGGGAGAAGAAAATACAAACGGCAATAGTTCTGAGGTTGGAGGAAAAGAATCAGAAATAAGAATGGTATGTTTAAAGTATCAATGCATGTGGGAGATTAGCTGGACCGGAAGCTGCAAAGGTATCTGAGGAAGATTCTGGAGGGCCTTGTATGGCAAGTTGAAAAAAGTAGACTTTAATTTGCAGGTAGAACATAGGCCCTGAAGGTTTTTGAGAAAAATCACTATATCACTCATTTGATAAATAATTATGTATTATTACCTTATTACATCTTCTAGTACTTAAAGGAAATGAACGAATTGAAAATGAATTCTGAAGTAGATCACACAAAAGAAAGGATGGTGAATGGGAATATGGAGGAGAAAATGGAAAGATACAAGACAACAAAAAGTTTGACTTTAGGTTTCATAAGTTTGAAATTCCTATAAGATGTCCAAATGAGGATGCCCAGTAAACAATCAGAAATGGTGTGTGTGTGTGGGGGGGGGACAGTCTTGAGCACAGGAGAGAAGCCAAAATTGGAAAAATGGGGTGGGGAGGGGTATATAGGTCATTAGCACATAAATGGTATCTCATTCTTCTCTGAATTCCCATTCTATGTTAAAAATTATTCAGGGAGATGTTTTATACTTTTGTGTACTCTCACAACACCTCGCATAGAATTCTCACAGGAGCACTTAATAGGTTAATTTTTGGTGGACAGATTGGTTTTTATTTTAAAAAGTTATTTCAACAAAAAATTTTCAAAAAGCAATTAACTTTGACTTTTAAAATTGGATTTTTGTTTCTTTGAAAGGTAATTGATACACTGCTGGTGGTAATGAAAAGTAGTAAAACCACTGTGGAAAACAGTTTGGTGGTTCCTCACAAAGAATTGCTATATGAGCCAGCCATTCCACTTCTAGGTATATACCCCAAAATAACTGAATACAGGGACTCAAACAAATACCTGTATGCCAATGTTCATAATAGTATTATTCACAATAGCCAAAGGTAGAAACCACCTAAGTGTCCATCAACAGATGAATGGATAAATAAAATAGGATATAAGCCATAAAATGGAATATTATTCAGCCACAAAAAAAGAACAAAGTTCTGATACTCTTCATCTACAACATGGACAAACTCTGAAATCATTTTGCTAAGTGAAAGAAGCTAAACACAAAGGACAAATATTGTATGATTCCACTTATATCAAATATCTAGAATAGGCACATTTATAGAGACAGAAAATAGATTATTGGTTACCAGGGGCTGGCGCGGGGATGGAGATTGATTAGTGGGTACAGAGTTTCTGTTTCAAATTTTGGAAACAGATAGTAGTGATGGTTATATAACACCATGAATGTACTTAATACCACTGAATCATACACTTAGAAATGGTTAAAATGGCCGATTTTATGTTACATATTTTTTAACACACACATACATAAAACCAGGAGAGGAGAAAGCATAGTATTATAAGGTTCTTAACACTATACATGAAAAGGTGGATCACTTGAAGGCAAATTGTGGTAAGATGCATATTATAAACCCTAAATCAGAGTTATGGCTAATAAACCAACGAAGGAGATTAAATAGAATCATAGAAAAGACTGAAAAAATCTAAAAAAAGATAGAGGAGGAGAAATAAATAGGAACCATATAAAATAACCTACATCTAAAGTTTGTGGAAAACTTGAAATCTTAACATTAATCTGCTATTCATGTGAACAAGTCATCTACCAAAAATCTCTTCTCTTACATGGAAAAATCTGTTAGACTAGAAAAAGGCTGGAGTAAGAATGGACTGTGTAGTTTGGAAATAATTTTCCAGTATTCACACTGCTCTCTGTTTCCACACTGCTTATTTTGAAACTTTTTGAATCTCCAAAAGAATTGAAAGAAAAGAACACAAGTATATTCACAATTCACCTATATACCAATTTAAGAATTCACCAATTTTTATTGTTTTGCTACTTCTACACTTTTGCAGTGTCTTCATACACACAGGTTTGCTTGTTTTTTTCTTCCTTCCCCTAAACTATTTGAAAGCTGCAGACATCTTTTGGCTTTAAACACGTAATTGAACAAACATTTTTTAACCACTATGCTATGCTGCCTCTTCTTCAAAAGCAGCATTCATTAACAGCACTAGACTAAACCATTTGGATACACATTTGAAAAATCTACAGGGTTTCCCACCTCCTACTGAATATAGTCTAAAAACTTTAGTACTGTCTTTTGTGAACAAGCCTAAAACTGCCTTTCTTTTGCTTCCTTCTACGCACCAGTGTTCCAGTCACCAATTCATGATATATTATGCATCCTTAGCTCCTCTGAGCCTTTGCTCATGTTGTTTCTTTAGTCTGAGATGTCTTTTCCTTTATCTCTATCCATTTTGGTCCTTTTTCTGAACCTTTAAGGCCCACCTCAAATGCCATAGGATAAGGGGACTGAAACTTCTTGGGCTATGCTTCCCCAACATATTACCTATAACCATTTAGCACTTAAATAATTTACACGCCTCTAGACTATACATTTAAGGGCAGACACCAAGTCATTCTTGTTTCCACATAATCCAGCACTAACACGATGCCTCACACTTGGTATGTCTAGCTATATATGTGTGTTTAAGATTTTTTTTGTCTTCATTATATTTACTTGAAACTTCACAAATAGGTGAAGTTTCAAGTAAATATAATGAAGACAAAAAAAAATCTTCCTTATTGTCCATTAGCACAAATGATTAGCATGTTCATTTATGTCTGTGATGAAAAAAGAACCACCACCATAGGGCTTATGTCAGTATTGCAAACACTATGACATACTGTTTCTAGCATAAAGCCCAATATAAGACAAAATAATAAAATATCCAAAGGAAAATAACTGAATGTAAAATCATGATCAAATAGGTAGTTCCTTGCACAGTAATTCACTGCTTTCAAAAAGAGTTCACATACATCTCCCACCTGCCTCCTCAATAAATCTGAGAACAGCGTACGAATTCCTATCTCTAGTATGAGAAAAATCAAAGTTTAGCCACTTGTTCAACTGGTAGAACCAGATTCTCAAACTTCATCTTCCAATTTCCAAGCTTAGCTCTTTTTCTAAAATACCACATGGCTCCCAAATTTGCTTCCTTGCTAAGAAGTCTTAGGAACTAGTTCAAAGCAATACTTTGTGGCCAAATTCTCAATCCGTTTTTATTAATTTTAAATGGTGATGGTAAAAAACAGCTTGAAGCGGGTCTAGTAAAAGGATTAAGGATGAAATTATTTTATCTTTCATATTAAACACATGCACTGGTAACATTTTCATTTCCTTTTGCTATTAGGAGTAATAACATAAAATTTACCTCTGTGGCTGCATAGAATAATTTGTATCCCAGACAATAAACAAGTCAAGCAGGCTTCTGCCTCCATCTCCTTTTGCTGCCCCTCTAACTGGAATGCTAGTTTTTTGCTCAAATGCTGCCTTAATCAGTTCCTTCCTAGACACAATATATAAAAGAGCATCACTGCTGCCGCCATGCCTCCTTCGTGGGCCCATCCCTGCCTTGCACTGTTTCCTTTGCTTTACTTTTCTCCATGACCCTCTCACCATCTCATACCATACATTTACTTTCTTGTTAATTGTCTTTCCCATGAGGGCAGTGACTTGCTGTTTTGTTCACAGCTGTATCTCCTGAATAAGTGCTTAACAAATATTGTGAGTGAATGGATGATAGTTTAACAACAATGTGTTAAAGAAAAAGGAATTATTCCTCTCCCTCTACCTCCCACATACCATAACTAAGCTTGTTTCAAGAAATTATATAGTTTGGCCAAGGGGGTTGGTATGCCCCCTGAAAGTTATGTGAATGCTTAAAAATCACCTGAATGTGTCATGTCTAGATCTTCCCCTAGGAGGCAGCACCTTACAGTATGTACAATGATATATTAAACTAGAGATGTGTTAAAAGTAGGTTCTCAGACAAATCCAGGGATGAGATCTAAGACTGCACCCTGGATGATACTGAGCTGAGGGCCAAACTGGGAGAAACACTGTGTATGTTCTGGAGTCGGACAGATCTCTATTCAGATCCCAGCTACACTGTTTGACAGCTGCATGGCACTGGGTGAAAAACTTCATTCCACTCAACATCACTCTCACTTGTAAAATGGGGATAGCATCACCTAACTTGCAGAGTTGTTGCAAAGTTACACAAGTAAAGTACCTAGTACAATGCCTGGCACATAGCATTTGCTCAGTAAATGATAGCTACCAGTCTCTGTGCATTGAGATTCATGGAGGGGAAAAAAGCTCATTTCTTTCCAACAGGTTTGACTCTCCATTTCTTATTGATTCAATTTTCAAAAATAAAGACTTCTGCTTAACCCAATATTGATTAGCACATTAGTACCAGATTTCACATAAAGAGCCCTGGGGACAAAGAGAAAAAAAGACTGGATGCCAGAAAAGAGTTGAAATCCTTAATGCTTCTAACCCACAGTAGTCCCAATCTGTCCAAGGGCCCAGCATGACATTCTACGAGTTTGGGAGTATAAGTCCTAGCTCTGCAAATGACTTGCTGTGTAATTCTAGGCAAGGCCCTTGTCCTCTCTATGTCCTTCCAGTGTCCCCATCTATCCAGTGAAAGAAATTCAACATAGTCTGTAAATCTTCAAGAAGTACATACAGGTCCTGACTTGTACTTAACCAGGCGTGTGATTTTAAAAACCGAGATAATCAAGTCCTCTCTGGTGTCCAGGCCTCAGTTTCACCATCTGTCCGGGTGGTAGGGAGGGTGGTGGTGGCAGCTCATCTACTGATAGGTCCTGCTCCCAGATATCTGGGTTAGAGATGGTTTGACGAAGACTTGGTCCGAAGAGCTGTACTTTTACCTGCGAGGTGTGGGGGCACTCAGTGTGATGTGTGGACTGGAGGGTGGGCAGCCCTCAGTCCGAGGACTTGGGCCGGGATCACCGAGGTGGCGGAGTGTGGCTGTGACACTTGCCCTGCCTCGGCCCCTGCCGACCCAGGGAAAAACCCTAACGCATGCCCACCATCCATGGCCAGGCCGTGACGTCCGCGGCGGCCGTTGGTCTGGGCTTCCTCCCAGCACGTCTGGGGCACAGGCCAGGACAACCCTAAGAGGGGCCCGCGGACGGCGGGTAGGCCGGCACCGTTCCCTTCCCCCTTCTCGCGCCCCCTCGGCTCTTCTCACCTCCCCGGTCCGGCGCGAAGAGGTCCCGCGGCGCGTCCTCTGCTGTGCGGGGATGAGAGTACACCGCTGCGCTGGCAGAGGCGGCCCAGCCCTGGGCCGGCCTCCCGTTTACCGGTCCGTCCCCTCCCCCGCCCATCGTCCGACCCCGGAGGAGGCGGGGCCCGGCCGGTCTGGACCCAGGGGCGCGGAGAGAAGGTACCCACTGAGAGGTGCGGAAAGCGAACCCAGAGCAAACGCCTGGGATGTGGCAGTCACGTGGTACAGTGGGCGAGCGACGCGGCTGCTAGCCAATGACTTGGCGGGGACTGCCGGGGGTTCCGCCCCCTGGCCGCTTTCCTCCTCTTGATAGGCTGTCCTGGGCAGAAAGGGCCACGCGTTCCAGGATGCTTGGCGAGGTTCCTCCTGCTTCAGGCTGCGGTGAATCATCCAAGTGGGCGGTTCATGGGTTCTCCACCTTAACCCCGAGAGTGTAGCAAGGAAAGGGCATCTAGAACGACGCGGAAGCGCTCTACCTGGAGCCTGGAAAGTGCTCTGCGTTTGTGAGGGACATCGTCTTTATCTCTGACTCCTTGGGACCCCGTTCTCTCTCACCCCCCTCTTTAGATGGGGAAAGATCACGTAGAAAGTTAGAGGCTCTTGCCCTAGTGGAACTTATTCTTCATCGAAGGGCCCAAGAGCCAGAGGCATTTTTAAAAATGTAAATAAGATGTAAAAATAAATTTGAAATGTAATCCACTCTTCCTCTAATACCTTCAGTGACATTTATAGGTAAACTCAAATCTCTCCCTATGCCTTCAAGGCCCTGAATGCTCTAGGCCCTGGCCCCTTCCTCTGTCACCTTGCATCTCTCCCGCCCTCACCGCTATCCACTCTTCCTGGCCTCTGCCCACCAAGCTGCTTGCTTCTGGCTACCTGGTTTCTCCTAGTCTCTCAGGTGCCAGCCTAAAGGCCTGCCCTCTCAGCGACGCCTTCTCTGCCGGTCACGTCCTATCATGTGATCTCGGTTTAATCATTGGCCGGAACTGTCCTCTCTCTGATATTTTTATTATTATTAATTTTTTAATGAGAACTCAAATTTAAAGTCCAAAGTTTATTGATAGTTTTTTGGTTTTTGTTTTTAAAATTTTCACGAATAGACAGTTATGACTGGAAACTAACAGTAATTCCTGACAGATTTGACAATTTGCTGGGAGACAGAATAACTTTGATGCTTTGGAAAATATAGCTAAGAACAGACATCACAACTAGGGTTGTCATCAGTAAGCTGTTCAGCTTGACGATCTTTTCCAATGTTTAGTCAAGACTGCACTAGAGTGTTTTTTTTCTTTGAAGAATCTTTATGATATTTTCCCTAGAGTACCTGCTTTTAAAACTTAAAAATAGATACGGCATTCTAAATTTAGGGCTCAAAACTTGTCTTAGACTTGATTTAGATATTGAGTATATATTAAGTTGTCCATTCTTCTTGTTTATAGCCTGTGGGGGCCCACTAGATGGAATGAAAGAGGACTTGTGAAGGAAGCAAAATGTTAACTTCCTTCCCTTTCCAGTGAACCTCTTCATAGTCATTTAAGGAATTCCTTTTCCTATCCAGAGTTGATCCTCAAGTTTCTGTTACCCACCAGATTCAGAGCTTCCAGAGTCACAGGCCATATTAGGAAACCAGAACACCTGGGTTCTACTCCTGACTCTGCCCCTTATGACTAGAGACAAATCACCTCACCCCAACTGGCATCAATGTTCTCACCTTTCAAAGGGTAGTTAATGGCCTGCCCCCAGAGTCCTGGAGAGGGTCAAGTAAAACTGGGTGTAAAGTACTTTGTCAGCTCCCAATAGGCTGCAAAACAAGCAGAATGACAAAAGCTGCTGATTTGCATATTTATTTGGGGATGCACAAAACTCTTCACATTGGTTATCTTATTTAACCTTCACAGTAGCTTTTGACAAAAGGAGGTACTATATTATGATTCTCCCTTTAGAGGTAAGGAAATGAGACTCAGAGATGTTAGGTGACTTGCCCTAGGTCTCATAATTGATAAGTGACAATAGCATGATTTTAACCCAGTTGTATCTGACTGCAAAGCCCACTCTTAACCACTACACTCACTTTTAGTCAAATGTCAGAATTCACTCCCATCTTTGTGTAGAATAGACACCAATAAACAATGGCTATTACGTTCTCTTATTCCATATGTTTTAATCTATGTGACAGATGAAGACACTGGGGCTCAGAATATTGAATTACTTAACAAGGTTATGCAACTGACTAAGTAGTGGATTTTGAGGTGGGCTTTCAAACTAGGAGCTGCCAGATGGCAAAACCCAAGAACATGCGGCATTGACCCAATGCAGGTAGATAGTTCTAGAGAGGAAGCTTTAGGTCAGCCCTTGGAGCCTCTCTGCCTTTCAGTTCCGCATCCCAGGTGGCTATTTAATGTCATGGTCTCCCCACCTCCCCACATATACTTCCTCAGGGGCCCCATGGAACTGCCATTCTACCTTACCTTGATCAATGCCCCAGTTCCCTGCAGTGGGAATCTAAGAGGTGAAACAAATAACAAAATCACTGCTAATGTAGAGCAGGCTAATAATCTGCTTTTCCTTGATAACAGCAGATCAGCAGCCCAGCCAGCCAGAAACCAGATGTCTTTACTCCCTCCCCCCCCATTTAAGTCTGGGCATTTTTCCATTGGTCTAAGGTTCACAGAGGTGGTTGGCAGCCAGAGGCTAACATATTATTTAGGCATTATTCTATCCCAAATGGCTTTTCAACGAGTAACTGATGTAGTAAGTGGGTGTTTTTGTGGGTCAGCAAATAAGTCATTTCAGGTCAGAAACCACTTCAGCATTCACCTCCTCAGCACTTCCTGAATACCCACTATGCTCAGGAAGGACAGGTCACTTCCTCTGAGGCCCCACTATAGTGGGCCCTGACCTGACTCCCATTATTGAATGGGCTATTCCCAATTTGCTATTCTGATTCACTTTCACTACTATAGGTGTTTTACTTTTTTTAAAAAAAATTTGATTGTTCTCAGAAATAGGTACATGTACAAGTAAATATTTTAAAAAGATCAGAGTTTATAATGAAAAGTAAATTTCTGTCCCACATTTACCATTCTTATCCTAAAATCCCTTTCTGGAAGCAAACACAGCACCAGTTTCCTGTGTCACCTTTCAGGTTATTCTCTACTAGCACATTATAATCTCTTGGAGAGCTTTTAAAAGATAACGATGTTCAGGTCCCATCCCCAGATACTATGATCGAATTGATGTATTAACATTTTTTTAAAGATCCCCCCTCCTGAGAGATTTAATGCACACCTATGTTTGGCAACCAGTGATCTATATGAGACTTAAAAATACACACACACACACACACACACACACACATATATTCGAAACAAAGGGGGCATACAATATACACTTTTCTACACTTTTAAAAAGTTAATATTATACCTTGAAGATTGTTCCATATCAGTGCATAAAAAGCTGCTTTTTTTCTATACTACTGAGTAACAAATCACTCCAAACTTAGTGGCTTAAAACAATAATTATTTTGTAAGTTTGCATGGTTTCTGTGGATCAGGAATTTGTAAGAACTTGACTGAGTTGGTCTCTCATAGAGCTCTAGTCAGGTAGTGGCTAGTGTTGGGAGAGAGGATGGGGATGAAGCAGCTGAAGGCCATCTGGACATCTCTTTTCGTGTCTCAGTACTTCTCCTGTGTCTCTCTGTGTGAGCTAGTTTGGGCTTCCTCACACCATAGTACTTTCAGGGCAGTCCATGCTTAAGTGACAGCTAAAGACTTCAAGAGCCAGCATTCCAGCAAGCTCTTTGGACACTGTACAGCCTCAAAAGTCACATGGCCTCACTTCTATTGCACTTTGTTGATCGTAAGTCGTAAAAATTAAGGAGAAAGCAGTAGACCCCAAGTCTCAAAGGGAGAAGTGTCAAAGTCACATTGTAAGAAGGACGTGTGGGACAGGAAATCTTTGGCCTCAGTGGCTGCGTAGTATTCTACTGTTTGGGTGTACCGTCATTTATTTTAGCACTAAGGGACATTCATGTTGTTTCCATTCTTTTAATATTACAAATAATACTTTGAACAATTATAGGTATTTTATCTCTACCCCCTCTCCTCCAGTCCCTAGAGGAGGCTTGGCCCTTCTTGATCTCTTGTCTCTCAGGGCCACCGAGTAACAAGGCAGGAAGTAACCATTCATAGGCTCAAGAAGAGATCCCCTCTTGCTTTGGGCCTTTAGGTGAAATTAGGTAAATTGTCCTGGAGGGGGTAAAAATGGACAGCCAAGTAGTCAGGGGGAAAGGAGATTTTTGAAAGTGCTCCCCTCAAGATTGAAACAGGGCTCTAAGCTTTGCAGGATCCTTAAGTGGCAAGGATCTGGGTCCTCTCTGCCCTGGACAGGTGAGAAGGCTTCCTACATGGTTAGCTGTTGGTGGCCCTGGGAGGCTAGAGCCACAACAAGGACCCCTGAGCCCCAGGAGAGAGCAGACCTGTTGCCTTTTCAGTGGTCATACCAGCTTGGATGAGGAGCACATTCATGGCAGCAGTGTGGACTGAAGGCCAGCAGGCTTTTCTCCAGCTGGACTGAGTTAGACCAACAGATATTCACATGACCCTGGGGTGAGGCAGCAGACATAATAATTATCAGGATTGAATATCCTGCCAGCACTGTGGGATGGGACCTTGGAACATATAAAATTTGATTTGGAGAAAGAAAAGAAATTTGACTCTTACATCCAAGGTGAAGGAGAACAAGTCACTTTTGCTAAAAATATTTAGGTGCAGAAAGTGATCTGTTGTTTGACGTTTCACGGCAATCATGAGCCCCAGCATCCTAGATTGATTCCTTCAGGGATGTGAGCTAGCTGCTGTGGGAGATGGTCATTCAAAATGGAACATGATCTAGTCTGACGTCAGAAACATGGCGAGTGAGAGACGTCCCCAGATCTCTCCCCTTGAAACAACAATAAGCTGTACATCTAAAACTCAACAAAAACACCCAAAGTGCATACCAGCATGTTTGAGCATGGGATCTGAGCATAAGAGCTACCACAGGAATGTAATAAAATGAAATAAAATGAAATGGAATGAACTTAAATGAAATGAAATGAAATGAAATGAAATTTCTGGTCAAAAGCAAATGCTTTGAAACAAATAATAACCATGGAATGTTATCTCAACAAGAATAGATTCCTCAACCTCCTTTGTAGTTTGGTGGAACCGTATGATGGAGTAGTATAGTAGTAAAG